CACTAAAAAGCAGATTCGCGAATTTATTGATGCAAAAAGACATTATAGTTTAACAACCAATACACCAAAACAAGCACAATTACCCACAAAGTCAGTAAAACGAGGATGTCAACGTCCTGTTACAGCGAAACATAACCAACATGATGCTCATTAATTCAAAGATTATTCCAATTCAACAAATAAAAAATAATATGTACATTAGGTCTTTATTTGTCTTGTTATATAATTGTTTCCAACGAATATAGTAAAAACCAAAGACAAAAAGTTTTATACGCATGTCAAACATCTTACTACTTTTTTTGTTGTTCAACATAAAAAACAAATTGTATTTGAAGTATAAAATAGAACTCTGATCAAATACATGTTATGATAACGAAAATATGCAGACTAGTAGTAACGTTAATCTTTGAGAACAATTTTTTTGATAATCCATAATTGAAAGAAACAAACGATCTTGTACAAGTCATACATGATTGTAGTAATAATTGTTATTTTGTTGAGTGTATTATTCTAATGTCATATCCAATGAAATTAAGTAGATCTATGTGTAAAGATAAAATGCAAAATATTTCTTGTGTTATTGCAAAATGCTTATTGACTTCATCAGAATTTTAATGTTGCTCGAAATATTCAAGTCAATATCTCTGTACTGTTATCCAGTATGTCTGTTCTTGATTGAATTAATTCTAATTGAACATTGTCATTTGATAAATCACAATTTACAGAAGAGAGAGTACTAAAAAGAACATCGATGCATTCGTAGCATATCAAATATGTGCTGAAATAAATTTCGTCATTTAAAGTTAATTTGTTGCAGTGAGTTATCCTTTGTATCTAACAGGATCACCACTGTTTTCTTTTTGTAATTGACATTAGATCTGACTCTAGATTGATGTTGCGCTTAGTGAAGAATATTGATATCTATTCATTTTTAAAAATAATACTGGTTGGATTATTTGGGCTTAAGTATTGATAACTTATATTCGGAAAAGAACATCCAGTTGAATTATAATATCATGAAATTATCAAAATCTCCTGTTTTATGGGTTTTCAGTTTACCTGAATTATTCGAACTAATCTGTCAGTGAATTTTTTATATTACTAATGAAATGTTTTTGTTTCTCATTGATAATACTCATATACATCAAAAGCCATCCATAATAATCGAAAATAAGCACATTTAAACAGACTATAACCAAGCAAAATAATAAAAAATAAATACAAGAAAATCGTCGTTAAAATTTATCAGTTCTATTCAACTGAGATACGTCAAATTTCAATAATGTTATTTCAAATAACTCTTTTACCATTTTTAATAAACTTAAACAAAATCAAATCTTTCATATAACTAAAAAAAACAACAAGTAAATGATTTAAAAAAGAAATCGATTAAACGATAAAAGACATTGAGAAAAAGGACAAAGAGAAAAAAATTCACACAAGAAAAAATATAACAAAAACAAACATTAAATCCAGAAGATCAACAACATTAACTGTCTATTTCGAATTAATATAAACATAATCCTTGATTTCATGAAAATGGTTTTTTATTAATTTGATTCTAATTATCGATTTATATAAGTCTCTGCACGATTCTATAAACCATTGGTTATATCAAGTTCAATAGAGAACTTGAGTTCTTTAAAAAAAAAATCTCAACTCTAACTGAAACAACAATCAGAATGCTATGGAGATAGAATAATATATAATGAAGGATCAGGTGAAGAAATATATATATAAATCAATTAAAAATTGACTTTAAATAAAGGATTCTAATGCTATAATTTATTTAAACGGTAATTTTGTGATAAGATTGTTTTAAGAATCCAATATAATTTGGCAAGAAAACAGAAATCATTAAAGCATGTGCATGTTACAATCTGTCCACATTTTCATTTCTCTTTAATTTTTAATTCAAGATTTCAGACAAGAGAAAAGTTGAGTTAAGACAATAAAAATGTCCTATACGTTCATCTCATTCACTAGAAAAAGTATATATCTATTGATTTATTTTTTGAAAGAATTTTGATTTAAATCTTTCAAAATATCAAACATCATCTGTAGCAGTTTGTGACTTCCGGTATGGGCTTAAGTGGGTCTAGTGTAGTTGCGATTGTGTAGGGGGTGACAGCGGGTGGGAATGTTGGCCTGCTTTTCATTCGCAGTCAAGACCGTAGTCATCGCCAAGGCTACAACCGCACGCACATCTCCATCCTATATCCATACGCTTCGAAATCCTCACTTTTGACATCTTGATCTTCGACATTTTATTTTTCTACATTGATAACTTTCGACATTTTTTCGTTCAACGTCCTCCTGTATGACATTTTCACTTTCGACATTTTACCACTTTTCCTTTGGAGAGAGAAAAATTTAATTGAATAATATTGTATGATGACTTGAGTCTTTTTTTTTCTCTTTCAACATTTTCATCTTTAGATTATAAATCTGAGAAAAGAGAAGAACGATTTATTGCTATTTGATCAGTATGCCTAAGCATTTCTATTAGTGACGAACATAAAGATTTATTTATCATATTTTGACATATATCAATCATGCACGATCTCTCGTTAGCAAATAATAAACATTTGTGACAAACAGTTTCTCCGTATGTCATATTTCAAATTATGTTTACGCACAATTAACTACTGTAATTCCTCCTCTATTAAATATTACAGTTATAACTATTAAAAACATGGTATTGGAAAATCTCACGTAATATTTACGAGTTTTTACATACAAAGAGTGTAATGTTTGTAATACGATATACAAAAAAATTGATTTGAAAAATAATTTGTCTAGATATAAAATAAGATTCATTGAAATAAATAATTATTCCTCAAATTAATTTCAAAATCTGTCGGATAAATGCATCAATATATCTAAATCTTTGTTTTTTCGATGAAACAGAAAAAAAAAGAAAACTCTTACGAATACATATTACAAGTTCACTCAATATTAATATTAAAAATATAGTTAAATGTCTTTCTATTTTAAATTAAATATATCAACTTTAAAAAAGAAAAATCTAATAAGCAATCGATTTTATTGTAAATTTGTAAAAATTCTCATGTCTTCAACTATAAGAAGAGAATCTGATTTGAATTTGACAAGCAGTTTATATACGCAATCATAGTTAGATTTTCTTTTATTCTGCTTTATCAACTCTCTCTTTCTCTTCTTTTTTTTTTTTGTTCATCTTCATCTCGTCTAGTAAACCAACATTGAGCTAATGGATTACAAAAATCTATGCGTATGCATTAGTATCGACAATAGCAAATATTAATGTTTGTTGCGCTCTCGTATATACACTATTTTCATTTATTCACTTTTCTCGCTTGTATTCATCTTTAATCCTAACGACACAAGAGCAACACAAAAAAAGACGGACGAATCGAAGGAAAAGAAAATCTATCGATCCTAAATTAACATGATATTTGTTTTTTATTTTCATTATCATTTGCAAGTAAGAAACAGTGAATTTGTTCTCTTTCGATTAGAATTGATTTCTTTCTCTAAAATATACTAACTTTCAGATAAAAGAATATATATGAGACGAATGTAGAACTTTAGTTTTTTTTTCTTCTTCTTTTTTTTTTACATAAAACATTCTTTAAAGATACTAATCAAATGGGAATAAATGTTCATTTTTACGATAAGATGTTGCGTGCATATGTAAGCTTGATCTAAGACAAATCGTAGAGCATATATAACAGTCGTATATGATACAATGTGCCATAGTTCATTATAACAGAGGCAGTATGAGAAAAGACAAGACTATATATTTGCTATAATAATCAGAAAGTTTCAACTTTATCCAGTACAAACACTAGAAAAATTTTTGAAATTTTGTCTTAAATCGTTAAAACCTCTTCTTATATTTCCGTTCTCCCAATCAGCAGTCCTCCATATGATATCTGTATAAGCTTATAATCGTATTTATATATATATTTCTAAAACGATTATTAGCTCTTGTGATATCGAATTATTAGGAAAAATATCGATTAAACATTTAAAGGAAAAGCAAGTCGTATCAAGCCATGGATATGTCTTTTTAATTCGTTTCTCTTTGGGAAGAAAGTAATATAGTTAATAAATAATTCTCAGTGTTTTGTTTGAATTTACTTATTTCAATGATTAAAATATAAATTCCATAAGATATTTTGAATCATAAAGTCATTTTAAAAAAATCAAGAACTATCATCAATAATTTTCTCTTCAACAATCATAATAAAGTATCTCGTTCTCATTTCTATTTGTACGATATGAAAAAGGAAACTTTCAATTCACAAAATAGTTTTGCAATATGTATATTATCCAAAAGTTATTTTTTAGATAACATAGAAATCATTCATAAACTGTCATATCGTACGTTTATTCACACTATCGATGGAATATCAAGCAACTATAAAATTATAGATAGTATTCTAAATCAAATTTTGATGTTTCTAATAACAAAACTTTTTTTTCTATTCTTTCAAAAAAATCACATGTTATTATGTATGATCTTACTGCTGTGTAATACATAAATTTTCATGCTTTTAAATTGAATATAATAACGTAATTTTCTTCTCTATTTGAATATATTCATTCTATAGAAAACAATTTTATTGAAATAATCTAATTCATAACAATCAAAGTATAACAAAATCTGTGTCAAGAAAATAGCCTTTGAATTCTTTTGGAAGTTCAGAAATATCTTAACCACAGTAATCATTTATTTTTGAACAATTAATCCGTGTTGCATCTCTTGTAAAATTATGTGTCACTTTTTTCAATGGTTGATAATCAGTATACAGATAAACATCATTTGGTAAATATGTTCTGGTATGAAGTAAAAATTGTTCAAGATAATCTTCGTGAGTCTTAGTAAGATGAAGATCAATAAAATGAAAATATTTAATGATTGGTAAATCTTCATTTTCATTTTTTGATTTTCTAAATCGTTTATTATTTTGTTCTTTCTAATTAGTTAAAGTTAATTTTTTCAATAATGGAAATTATTGAGCTATTTGAAGAAAAAACTCATATTCAAGAGAATGTTCATCAAATAATGATATTTCACGAATATTTTTAAATAATCCACCTGGAAAATTATTTGTTATATTATCATAATATTTTAATTTATATGAATATGAATAAATGTGACATTGGCTATATTTACTTTCTTCAAAATAATCAATACAAGATATAATTTCATTATCTGTATAATCTTTGAATGTATGTTGCATATCTTCATTTGATGGTTGATCAATTTGGTTTTGATAAAGAATGAATGAGCGAATATTAAATGTAAATTCATTTAATCGTGGCATATGATTGATAATATTTATCTTCAAATCATTATCATCAACAAGTGTGTTTCTTTCACAAACAATAAGACACAAGTCAAGTTTTTCTAAATTCGACATTCGATGTAAAAGTTGTGTAATAGATTCATCATAAACATATGTTTCCTTATTACAATACAGCGAAAAACATTTTAAATTAAACAGTTTTTCCTAGAAAACTAATATTATTAATTTATTTCAATAAATTAAATATTATTTAAAAATAATCTACCTTATTATTGATTGTGAGATCCGAAGAGCAAATGAGAGAAATATTAACATAAAGTGTATGAAGCTGATTGAAACGATCATCAAGTAAATAAAAACAATCACTAAAACTATGCAAACAGACATATAATTCTAACAAAGTTGAAGAGATAATAGATGCAGGAGATGCAATGTAAAATAATAATCGTTGATTCCAATTTGAAGATGGAACAAAATTTAAATCACATAAATTGCTGAACGTAGTAAAGATATGTACGAATACAAGTTCTTTGACATTTTCTGTTATATGTTATTTTTCATCTTTCCGAATATCGATAACAAGTGATGTAATCTGATTTTTTGAATATATGCATTAAAGAAGTTTCGTCTAACTATAAATACAAAAATATTAAGAAATCTAATCATTTGTAATATTGATTAAATTGTAGCATTGTTTTTTTTAATTTTTTTCAATTAGATCTATAACATATATATTTATTCTTCTTCTAAATATTACTGTCGTTTATTTAATGTCACTAAACATGTTGTTGTAGCTCAATTATTCATATATATCATTCCTATTTATTCTGATATTTCTTTATTTACAAGATTATATTTAAAATTTTCAAATAATCACATTAAAAAGAGATCCTTTTAAAAAGACTTATGTCTCATATAAATGTTCATATTCATTGTCAATAAATATCTTCAATAAGAATTGCATTCATATTCATAATTTATGTCTGAGTATAAATTATATATAAAACTAACTTATCATGAATAGAATATTCAACAAACTACTTAAATATATGATAAAACAAGTTGTATTGCTTATTTATATACTACTCATGTATTCAGTAGTTGATGAGGAATAAAATAAACTATCTTACCAGTAACAAAATATTTAACTTTTTCTATTTGTAAATCGTATAAGCCAAGTCCATATAAATTAGGATAATTTGTAGCAAGTAAAATACGTTCCATAGATAATAATTCAAGATTAAGCCATTTGATTTTATGATGAATTTCAGGTAAAATTTGTAAACAAAATTGATCAACCATCGAATCAGGTAATGGATAGATGGAATCATCCAAGAAGTGTTTCATCAACGTTAAATAACTCGTAAAAACTAAATCATGCACAACTATATTGAGTCGATCACTAACACCTATTAGAGAGTAGATTATCTCGACATTGAATAGTTTTTTCAAAATAATGATAAGAATTTTATCAGGTAAATCATTCAAATGAATAAATGAATATTCAATGTTTATATTCACTTATCTATTCTTTTTAATTCATAAATGTCAATACTTATATATATCTGCTTATTTATTCTATTTGATCGATGTCATCAATGAAAACAATGATGTACTTTTTTGTAGTCGAAGTCCACAACGAATCAAAAAAATGAATGAAAGAATGCGGTTATTTCTCTCTTTATTCTAGTTCAACATATCTGATGTTTATCCTGATAACAAGAGAATTATATTTAAGTCAACTCGACAACCTTTGTTTTAATTTTTCATATCAATGGAGATTTATGTAAAAGTATTAGTTTTTATATTGTTTCTTGTTCGTTTCTTTTCTTTTTAAAACAAAACAAAAAAATGAAACATTTTTTTAAATAAATTGGATATAAACAAGTATGGCTTTCTTTTCTAGGAATATTAATAACAACATTTTATTTTTCATTGGATCACATTTAAGGATTATGAAATCTTGTTAGAGTTTGTGGTAGTTGAACATCAAATATTGAGTAAATTTGAATATTCTGTAACCTTGTATTGACTACCTATGGAAGCGTTCATCAAAAACATGATTCGTTAGAATTTTGTCGTTGGTAGTATGTTTTAAATTTGTTAGCTTAGTAATGAGAGCTTTAATTTAACACCTTATTAACTTACCATATAAACATCTTCATTGTTTAGTATCGTAAAGGTACATGAAACATATTGTTAAGGAATTTTCATATTACAACGTGATTATCAGCACTATTTGTTATATTTCGAAAAAGAAACTCTTATATATTAGTTAAAATTGACGTATTGTTTTGGATACATATGATCTTATCAATGATTAATGAAATTGAAAAATTGTTAAAACTATGATACATGAAATAGAAATCTTGATGGCTTTTGAAAATAGGACGATTCAATTTATTTATAAAAGAATATATTTTTAACACGGTTCTTCATGTGTAAATTTCTATTTTTACTTTTGTTTTAAAAGCAAATGTGTAGTTCTCATATAACAGTGAAGTACATACGAGAAAAGCAATAATGAATGCAAGTTTTATAACAATCAAAGATAATCATATCATATAATTGTTTAAATCAATCAAAAATTAAATCATATAAAAACAGAATGTATTCACAATGTGAACATTTCAAAAACTAATGATATATTAATTTTGACACAAATTTATAATATAATAATACTAATTACATCTTATGTTCTATGTCATTCTTTGTATTAAAAAAATGAAAGATTTTTATTTTGAATATATACTGAACATAGACAGAGTCGAATAAGAATTAATTGAAAATACTCGATGATAATATAACAAAGGATTTAATGATGTTTTTATTTTAGTAAAAAATCAAGCGCTCGAATTGTTTTATTATTGAAATATTCATTTTGAAAATTAGTTACCAACTGTTGATCTTATCATTGATGATTTGTAGTCATAAATAAAAACGAGAACATGCCTGTTTAGATAAATGTTTTATTCTTTTTTTTGTAAATTTCATGATTCAACTATTATGTTCACATCATTTTTATTGAATTGAACTTACCCATTATTTATTGAACAAAATTAAACTTGAGAATATATTAATTATTGTATTTTTCATTTCGAATAATTAGAATTATACAATAAAAAAAAAATAGACAAAATCTTACCGTTTTGTTATCAATAAGAAAGAACGAAGAATGATCTATTATTGCATGTACATAACAAAATAATATTTTTTTCATGCTTATCTTGATGATCTATTTCCTCTCCATAGAGATATTTAACTCATTTTATTTAATTTATTCTTTTATCATAACAATTAACATGTCATTTTCATTGGAGTTTGATTACGTCATAATATAACGATTATTTGTTAGAAGTTTACAAAGATAAACATTTCTTGTAATTATCAAAACGCATACAAAACAAATTTAGCTGTTACAGTATATACAGATATCTTTTTCAGTACACGGATAATTAAATATGTGCTATTTGTTCTGATTACAAGGATAGAACAAAAAAAAAAGAATATTTAAAGTAGCATGGACATCACTTATGAGCCTAAAAGGCTGACATATATTTTTACTCAAGTGGATGTACCTTAATCTTTTTATAATTACTTATCATGCTTAATCCATCTTTTGCACTTTGAAAAAAAAAAGAAAAAGTAATCTCTCACATTCGAAACAATTTTTTTAGAAAAAAGCAAACGAAGTGTAGTTAATCAAATATTTCAATATGGATAATTAACAATGACATAAAAGAACTTTTTTTTCTAAATCTGATCTTTATTAAATAAATTTTTTTTCCTATTCAAAAAAGACATAATATTTTGATCGTCATATTCATTGGTGAAAATATCGAATTGATTAGACTACCTTATAGAAAGAACGTACATTTCCCTCCAGACAACTGTTTGGTCTTGCTGCTGATAAAAATCAATATAATATATATTCTTCAATACGATACGCTGAACAGTATGCTTGCTTCAACTAGATTAGATCAATTCATGTACATTCATACAGTAGGATGTCATGTAATCTTATCAAAACATATATATTTTTTAATATACATATTGAACAAACTACTCATGCTTGTCAATATAAATATTTGAAAGAGAATCGATAGAAAAAAAAATTTTCTTTTTTTATTATTCTGAATTTTACTACAAAGAAAAAAAATTGAATTTTTAATATACATCAAAAAAAAAAATCTATATTTGCATAACTTATGAAATAGTAATTATATAAACAATTGATAGAAGACATTCGATCGATTTAATCGTTTGAAATTATTATTAGAAAATGATCAAAAGATTATTCATTTATTTTAATATTCAAATCCGCTTAGAAATATAAAAGTAAAAAAAAAAACAAAAAGCAAAATTTAAATTTTATTTTTCATTATTTATGCTAATTTATTTCAATTAAAAAACAATAAGAGTATTATTATGTATCTATGTGTTTAATATTAACATGATGTTCCTAAATTCGTCTGGAAATAATCCTATAAGAATATTCTTAATAATCAACAAGAACATCATCGACGATGTTCTATAGCAATACATCGTCATCCCGTCTTTCTGTGTTATTTCTTGTATGGCCATTTTGTTCATCAGATCCTTCGCTTTTTGCCAAAATTGCCTTCGCATTTGAACGAGTTTGAAAATTGCAAAATAGCCATTCGATAGAAGACACTTTTCTCTATTAAATCATATATAATTTAGGAAAAAATTTTTTTTTAGTCTCAATAAAATAATTAAATTCTTTGCAAATATTCACTAAATCTCATCTTGTTCATCGTATTTTTATGTATTTTTTTCTATGTTTTTATTAGAAAAATTTCATGAAAATTATATCATTCGATAGAAAAATGTCTTGTCTATAATATTCAATAAAAAATTCTTTCTTATACAATTAAATTTTATGAAAATATTCGTCATTTTTTAAAGAAGGTTTGAACAATCTTATGATAGTTCGAGTAACAAAAGGTATCCTATGTGCGGTTCGAGTCGAATCGGGAGAAGGAAGGAGAGGAAAAAAAAGGCAACGACGACGGCGACGACGCATATACACCACCAACATTACCACCATCATTCTCATTCATTCTATCGACATCGCCCTATCGTGCGCGCACACAAACACAAGTTTTTTTTTCTGCTTCATATTCACTTCATCTTTTTTTTTGAAAGAAGAAATCTTCGAAACAAAAAAAAAAAAAAATTTTCAAAACAATGTCTGATCTTACAAGTGGTTCAACAGCTCTTAATACATCACAAAGTGCAACAGGTAATTCTGGTGCTAATACCAAAGGCAAGAAAACAAAATCAAATACGGCTGGTTCATCAACAAATAGAAATAAAAAATCAAAAGGTCCAAGTAGTCATCCAAAATATTCGGTTATGATTAAAAAAGCATTAACAGAATTAAATGATCGTAATGGTACATCAAGAGTAGCTCTATTAAAATATATTTTAACCAATTTTAAAGTTAATCCATCAACAGCTAATCAACATCTTAAATCAGCATTACGAGCTGGTACAAAAAATAATACATTAAAACAAACAAAAGGTATTGGTGCTAGTGGAAGTTTTAAATTAGCTACGGCAACAAAAAAACCTTCATCAACAGCTGGCAAGAAAAAGAAAACAACAACAACAAAATCAACATCAACAAAATCACGTAGTCGATCAAAAACACCAGGTGGAAGTAAAAAAACAGGTCAAACTAAAACAAAAAAAGCACGATCATCAAGTAAAGCTAAATCAACTGATGCAGCTAAAAAACGACAACGTTCAGCATCACCAACTAAAAAAGCATCAACAAAGAAAGCTACTAATGTTAATACAACTGCAACAACATCGGCTGCTACTGCAACCAAGACAAAGGCTAGTACAGCTGCTACAAGACCTACATCAGGTTAGTTGATTAGGAAACAAAAAATAAAAAGAAAATTTTTAATTAATTATTTTTTTGTTTAGCTCGTACAGCTAAACCTATAACAAAAGCATCAACTAAACCAAAGGCTGCAGGTAGTGCTAAAGCTAAAAGTCCAAAGAAGAAAGCAGCATCACCAAAGAAGAAAGCTGCTGGTGCATCAAAAGCAATAGCTAGTACATCAAGACGATCTGCTAAATCATCAACAGCAACATCTGCTGCATCAACAGCACCTGCAACTGCTGCTGCAAATACGTCTAGCAATACTGCAACAAAATCATCACGTAAGAGTGCAACAACAAAGAAGACAAGAAGTCCAAAAAAAACTGCAGCAAGCAAGAAATAAATGAAATCTTATAAGAATACATGTATATAATTTACTATAACATCTATTTTTTCGTGTGTGTGTATCCTGTAGACATATCTTCTTTCT